GGCATTTTTCTCCGGGCAAATCAAGACTCTGGCGACCGTTGACGGGTTGACGACGGGTTTTGAGAGGAGAAACTTATCATTTTTAATGGGCCAGTTGCTTATATTGTTCATGGATTTAATACACGGCCTGAGATATATATTAGTCCGTGGTGGTTTACAATATAACTAAAGTTACCTGCAGTAGGTACATGTATTTCGTAATTTCGTTAATATTGTAAATACGATTATAATATTATATTTTACATAATCAAAATATTTATTTCAATATTTGGACATTTTCCATGCTCAACGGCAACAAAGGTAAGTACATATTTTTTTTTTATATTATAAGTTGTCCAAAACCTGTTCGTGTGTGTTGCGTACCCATATGTTCCTTAGTACCTATCTGAGGAAAACAAATTTTGCACTCGACAAATGTATTATAAATTTATAACTTTATTATAATATTATACTATTTAAAAATTGTAGTTTAAATAAAAATTATCTTTAAAAAAATAAAATTCAGAACATACAATTCATTTTTTTTTCGTTTATTTCAGTAGAGTGTGCGGTCGTATAAGTCATGCCACCTACTTTATACTTATTATAGGTAAGTATTCTAAATGATTTCAGCTAGAAAACATTATATTTTCCTAATAACATAAATACGAGTATGTTATATTTACAACAAAGATACATACTATAAAGACACATAATATTACTATACAACAAGTTATGAAAGAAATAATTAATGTTTAATTTATAATTTAGTTATTGGTATTWAACATATACAAATACAATTCAATTAGTAATTAACGCATATTAAATTATATWWAAAAAAAATGTATGTATTAAACTACAATACATCAAAACAATTAAAAGATCAGTACAATTAATTAAATTTGCTTTATAAATGCTGTAAAATTGGTAATTTTCTGTTTTTATTTCTTTTTTCAGATACAAAATGTCTATTTAAAAATATAATAGAAGTATAAATTTTAAAACGAGAAAAAAACTTGAGAGTATTTAATCCTTATCAAAGTTGAGGCATGTATGTTAATAGCATTCTAATGATAAGTTTATCGCCTATTCCTACTTCARCAGACACAATAGAAAACTATTTATAAATTCTGATTCCAATTTGTAAAGATAATTATTAATATTATATTTTAAATGAATGATGTATTTTAGCTTTCCTGCTGCTGTCTCATCCGAAGAACGTTCTTTTAGTAAATTGAAACAAAACTATTTATAAGTTATTTACAAATATTTTTAAAATGTAAAATAAAATATAAATGCACTACGATAGCAACAAAACGATTAAATAATAAATTAATCGTGGGGAGGGGGGAATTTTTAAATTTTCCCTGAGTGCTGAATCACAACGGCATTTTATTTATTTTTACTATACATATAATATCTAAGGCTTCGACTACAAACATTATTGGTCACGTTTGGTGTGTTACATCATGAAGCTAATATAAAGATTTAGTTATATAAGTAGATACATAAATATTACGAAAAAGAAAATAATACGATGAAAGGCTTAGAAAATTTAAACTAAATAAAATTTACATTTTTTTACATAGATTGKAGGGTTATTTCTTAATAGGGTTAGATTTTCAAAAACTATAGCCCTCTCGAAACTGACTGTATTAAGTTGGTAATGTTGGTATGTATATGGCTGTTTAATGATGGAATAGTAACTATAATATATTAATATGCGCTTGTGAGTGGTATATTTTTAAGTTATTTATTTCGGATTGTCAAAAATTTTGACCCTCTATTAAAAACTCAAATGACGCCACTATATTTTTTCTYATCTAAATATTAATAGCCATTTATAGATTTTAATTTTTTAAACATTTAAATTATTTTTATTTGTATTATGTATGAAATAAATACAAAAATGATGTACAAATTATTTAATTTTAATATTTACGTACAGTGTTATTAGTGTTATTACTCAATGTGGGCATGTTTTGATCCATTTGCTTTCATAAAATATGATTTTAATATTAAAGTTAGATTATTTTTATAATGTAGCGAATGTAGGTATATATATTATGTGCACCACAATATTATATGATCATTACTATTATTTATTATTATGTTATTAAGATTTCTACTTTTTTTCCTTTTATATTTCTAAGGTAATTCCAAAGTTGAAATTAGTTAGGATTGTGTATTTAAAGATGGAATTGAGTTTCATATATTGTTGATCACATTCTTCTRTTTAAACTACATAAAAATATTATGTGTTCRAAAATTAATAAACCTTAATGATGAGATAAGTGAGACCACTTATTAGGTAAGATTATGTGAATGCTATCGAGAGCGATAAAAYTGTTGACATTAAACGGCACGTGTGGTATTCTTTCCATCATATTTTTTTTGAAAAATTTYAATCAGTCTAAAATAATACAAAAACTGTGGATATTAATTATTAACCAAACAAAGTCCAACAATAGCCGGTTTAATCTCATTTACATACATAATATGATACTGATACATTAGAATCGAGAACTACAGACAATTTGCCCATACTATATTGTTATAATAACGCTAGTACCGGTGCCCACTGCCCACATTAAATGATGGAATCCATATTCCATTGAATAACGCWTCATAATGTAAATAATAAAAAGAATGGGGTGGCGACCCCACTGCACGCCTGCCTAAAATGACACATTTATCAAATTTCAATGATACGCTAAAAATTTGAGAAAAATTATGCTATTCTTAAAATGTTGCTCTTGTAAAAAAATTCAAAAAAATAAACTATAAACATTTTAAAAGTTATAACATTCCTATATGTAAAATTGATTATGTTACTATATTATCATTATATTTATTATGTTCTATTTAGTGTACACAAACTTCGGGCACATGAAAAAATTGTCAAACCCTTGATTGCAAAAATATTTGTTATTGACCCAAATAAAGTTCGCCACCCCTGATACAGGTAATTACAAATTAACGATAATTTGTGTATAATATTTTAATTTAATTTGTAGTTATTACTTATAAGTACTTATTGCATATATTTATTAAACATTAATATATATTATTTTATTATTTATTATTACAGTKKTTTTTAATTTAAATTAATTTACATTCTTACGATATACAACTATAGTCTATAATATAATATTTTATGCTAATAAATGATTGATAACTATTTAAATTAATAAGAGGGTGAAAAATTCTTGTTTTGTTAATGATGGAATGTGGTTAAAGGAGTATTATAATAATTAATTTTTGGAGGGAAATAATAGTGGATAATCCGCGAACAAAAATGGTGTTTCCGAAATAGTAAATCGTATTCAATCAGTTTATATGTATTTTATAGCTACACATAATGTACGTACCTATAACAGTATATAATTAAAAATACAATCACTCAAAAAGCAGTAAAAGTTTGCATATAATAATTACATAAACGTCATTTATTTTTTTACCTATTGTGTCATATTATGCGCTTCATACGGGCTATTATAAYGGGAKTYAGTAAAAATTATTTTTCTCATTCTAGCTTGAAATCAAAAATATAAAACCAATTTAATCGTTTAAAATATGAAATTTAGACCGAGTAGACCAATGTTAAACACTCAAATCTCAAATAGTGAACTATGCTGATATTGTCATATTCCTTGTTGTCTATTTACTCTGCTTCTGTTTTGAATACTATTTAAAGAACAACCATGTAATTAAACTAAAAGTGTA